GCCGATACAAACACTCAAATAGTGTAATGATTCAACATCAATACAATCTCAACAGCAACATCTGTAAAATTCCAACGCACGAAAGACAGAAATCCTCTTACTGAATAACCTCTTTCTCCGTTGTGAAGTGGTCCGTATGCCAGACACTGAGTATTTTGCGTCCTCGAAGAAAGAAGCAGGGCAAAGAGACAGAGAGATACAGAGAGAGAGAGAGAGAGAGAGAGAGAGAGAGAGCGAGAGAGAGAGCGAAAGAGAGAGAAACAGAGGGAGCCAGAGAGAGACGGAGAGAAACAGAGAGAGAGAGACACAGAGAGCCAGAGAGAGACAGAGAGAAAAACAGAGGGAGACAGAGAGAGACAGAGAGAAACAGAGAGAGAGACAGATAGAAAGAGAGAGAGAGAGAGAGAGAGAGAGAGAGAGACAGAGAGAGAGAGAGAGAGACAGAGAGAGAGAGAGAGAGAGAGAGAGAGAGAGACAGAGAGAATCAGTGATAAAGTAAATTGTCTCGAATCATGTGTGAACGAGAGAAGAAGGGTAAAAAAGTAGTTGGAAGATGAAAGAAGGTTAAGTTCCAAAGAAAACGAAAGAGAAAAGATTTAATACCTGTGCAGAGGTGAAATTACCTTTAAAAAAGTGACAGTTTGATTAGAGCGTCCATAAACGGGAACAGTTTATTTGTGTCTTTTTCATTTTGATTTTGTTATTACCTTTTCATTACTCTTTTTCTTTTCTTTTTTTTTTTTCGTCCTGCGTACTGTGGCCTGCGTACTGTGGTTTTTTTTTTTTTTTTTTCTTCATTTCTCATTTATTTGCATCTTTTCTTTATTATTTTACTTCTTATATTTATTTTTAACTTTGTTTTTGTTTTTTTAATTACTTCTTTTCTTTTCTCACTCCTTTTCTTTGTTTTACTTTCTTCCTTTTCTTTATTTTACTTCTTTTTTTAATTTTAATTTTAATTTTTTCTTCTATATTTTCATCTTTTCTTTATTTGCTTCGTTTCTTTATTTTGAGGATTTTTTTTCTTTTAGGCCTATATTTACTTCTTTTCTTTCTTTTTAAAAAAATTCTTTTTTATATTTTTTCTTTTTTATATTTACTTGTTTTCTTTCTTTTTCACTTCTCTTTTTTGTATATATTTTTGGGACTTTTTTCCTTTTATATTTACTTCTTTTCTTTATCTGACTTCTTTCTTATTTCCTCACTTCCTCTT